TAGCGTTCCCTCAAAGTCCGTCTTTTGACGCCAAGCAGGTCATCCTCACAATCCTCCGCCCTCAGGCAGTCTCTGCTGAGTTACAAAAGAAATCATCGCTGAGAAAATCAAGAGGAGCGAAGCATGATCTCGTTTCTTGTCTATGGAAGCTGCATAGTTAGGATCTCCCTTTCTGCTGGTAACTCCAATCATGGATGGATTCCATGTGGTAAGCCTTTCCTTATTCAAAAAATATCCACACCATTATGGGATATGTGAATAATTAATGGATAGGTAGGAGAAGTCAGGTTATAGTCTTGCCGATTGTAATTCTTCTATGCTCTCTCTGGTTTGACGGTGATCTGTCAATCATAAGGATCAAGTTTGTAATATGAATATCCTCTGGGAGTTTAACTATCCATGCCGATGCATAAATTCAATGCCGGGGTACAAATGCAAGCACCTACATGGCCATGGTAGCCCTCAATCCTACTAGTACTGAATCTCGTTCTCAGATTAGACACTGAAGTGTGTATGAATGATGTGTATTGTGGACGCATTTGCCAGATGTAGTATCGGTTGGATAAAAATGTAAGATATTTCCCCAAAAGCAGCAGCTGCCGCCCTTGAACCCATACAGGTACATCGCCCTGACCAAAAGGCCACCCTATGTTGGCAACATTTAACCCCAACTACACAATTCAAATCCCTGTAATATTGCCTACCACGTGTAAGCTCTCCCTCACTTCTATGATGTTTGGAATATATTTATTAGGAAAAGGCGAACATTACTGTACCCGACCGCAGCTTCCTTCAATTATGTTTGAGTTTAAAAACCTGGGTAGGGGCCTCGGATAGGACTCAGGACTCAGGAGTGGCGAATTAATTGAGGATTTGAATAAATATTTATGAATCCTCTGCGTGCAGAACTTTGTAGACGGCTTCTCACCCTTGGAAGCTCATGGATTGATACTCTGGCCGTTAGATGTGTATAATCTGGGCACATGACAGGAGCTGATATCATTGATAATTGTTCCAATCCTAACTAGGTATATCACTCCTGAGTACATTCCTGAATACAGCGTCCCCGAGCACAGCACCCCTAAGTACAGCAACCCGAGCACAGCAACCCCGAGCATAGCAACCCCCGAACACATCAACCCCTAATACATCAATCCCTAACACATCAACCCTTAATACATCAACCCCACCCCCGAGCACAATAGCCCCAAGAACATCAACCCCACCTCTCAGTACACCACCCCCGAGCACATTAACCCAACCCCCGAGTACATCACCCAGAGGACATCAACCCTACACTGGAGCTACCCAATCCCAATTGATCCAGTGTTATTGGAGGTCACTACTACGGCTCCTTGATCGAAGCAGAGGAATCTATACTTTCCGTTGCACCAAAGACTTGGGATCAAATGGCCAATTGCTATAACAAAAAATTTTGTAATTGTCCTTTGAGCTCAATACGGTTTTTACACTGTTTATTCCTAGGGAAGACTGAGGTAAATTAGACCATTCCAGACTCTATGCTCGAGTTATAGATTAACTATACTCTGGAAGATACAGATGAGCATGGTATCTTGGATCAATTATATCCGACCGGCGAACTCAACCGAGTTCCTAATCTTGTAGGTACGTACTTAATATCCCTAACATCCCTAATATCAGTCCTTAATATTATACTTAATTCTTCTACTCATACCTTCTCTAGCTTCGACTTTAGATTTCACAAACAATTAATTTGTGATCACCCTCTACTATGCTACGGCTCTGGCCTCGCAGGTAACGGAGGTGCTTCTATCTTGTACTTTCAGCCACATATCTACTTGCAAAACAAAACACTGCAAGTGCTTCAAATCTGGCTCTAAATGCACCAACATTTGCCACCGGGGCAAGAATCACTTAGGTAATTAGGCTGGCGCATGTCTGAATCTGGCTGCCTCTAAGGATATAATACCCGTGCCGTAGAATTTTACGTACTACTCCTCCAGGCTCCACCTCCAATATAACTGGTCGTTCCTCCCATTCTTCTTCTTCTGTCTCTCATTCAGCTTCTGCCGGCAGGTCCGATTTGAATGATAATATTTGGATAGTATAGTGCTACAGAGGAGGACTTCTATTGTTGTATTTATTTATATGTTATATTATTTTTCATACCTCTGCTTTTTTGATTGTTAAGTATTTTTATTTATTTATAGATTATATTTCCGCTTGTTTTGATTTTCTAGTATTTGATTTATTTATGTTATATTTTCTTGTTTCGCTTGCTTGTTTCGCTTTAATTCTCCATATTCCGTAGGCAATAATTATACTAGAAAATTGTTGTGGCCGTCGTATTGGTGAATGGGCTGCTGGATGGGCCGGTCATTAGCGTCATTGGTGAATAGGTCAGAACGATTTCATCCTTGGAACAAGGGAAGAATACCCAAACAACTGGACGTGGCATTACATCGAAAAGACCCAGCTACCCCGATAGACTGAGCAGGACCTCCTACCAATACATCACGTTTGACAGCAGGCACGTAGGTTCAGCGGTGATGTTCAACTCCAATATATGGAACTCTCGCCCTAAACTCCCTGCTTTCCCGCCCTATGGCCCGGATAGCCGGCGCGACCCCGTTTTCGCCGCCCCATGCCTAGGCCTGGATCTCCGGCCTTGGAAAATGCTGGACTGCTCATCCGAGGGGCCCTCGACGAAGGTCGTGAAGGAGATGCCAACGACGGTAATTGGGAAGGGGGCTACGATGATGGAAATCAACTAGGGTCGAAAGGAAGACGAAGAGGGACGAGAGAGAATGAGAGAAGTCTCGCGACAGGAGATGGGATGACCCGTCATGAGACAGAAGGAGCGGCGGTCGAGACTGTTACAATCGACAAGACGAATTCAGAGAAGCCTCCCTGAAAGTGCATTGCGCATCCTGCTATCCTGCACCTCCTATCTACTCGGCACGTCCCAATCCTGAACCTCTCATCACCTCCGCTTCGCCGGCGGCGAGAAATCCGCTTTTCGCCACGTTGAGGCTATTGAACATTTTCACACTATTTCTCTACACAAGAACCACACTGGAAGGCTTCACTGGGGGAGGTGGAGTTTGAGATTATGTTAGACCCTGCCTCTATTGGTTATCATAGTGTGAGAATGCATATGGTAAGATTAGTGAGAATGGGGGTAAGGGAACTAGCATACTTGAACGGTAAGCTGCAACTCCTACGGAGACTGCCGAGAGGAGGAGGGCGAGAGGTAAGGTTAGGGTTGTGGTGGTGCTTACGGGGAGTATGCCCAATCATCTACCCAGCCCTAGTGACACCCAATAAGAAACACCAGTAGTTTGGTCTGGGTAGATGCGGGCCGAAGCTTACAATTTTAAGACTTGCGAAAGTATTTGCGCAGTGTACATCGGGAAGGCTGGTATACTTCCGGGTCACCGCCATGGTCACTACCACCAAGATCGAGTTTTGTGGAGCCCAGTGTCCCCATTTCTCCATCCTTATAGAAGTATTCGCGTAGCTACTGGTGCATGAACGGAATGAGAACAAGAAGTTATTCTACCAAATATAGCGATGGAGGGAATTGCTCTCCGGCGTCCGGATGAGGAGACAATTTCTCGGACAGGTCATTTACGCCTACCCCACAATAATTGATCTAGAGAAATTCAACCGCATAAATTAAGTTTACAAGAAGGAGCCGGAAACAGGAAAGCACGTGGCTTTATCCTGTATTACCGGTGAGTGGCTCCGAAGGAGGTGGAATTCATGGGAGCAGATGGACGAAAGGGAGCAGGCGGACGAAAGGGAGCAGGCGGACGAAAGGGAGCAGGCGGACGAAAGGGAGCAGGCGGACGAAAGGGAGCAGGCGGACGAAAGGGATCAGGCGGACGAAAGGGAGCAGGCGGACGAAAGGGAGCAGGCGGACGAAAGGGAGCAGGCGGACGAAAGTGAGCGGTGGCTGCGGAATAGGAAGGATAGAGATAAGGAAATCACGGTAGACGGTAGATCAGGTTTAGACTTTCTCAACCTCTCACTTAAGGGGATGGGATCTGCCGGCGGAAGTTTCGAACGGTTGTAGTTTCCTTTGGTGCCAGTTTTCCTTTGCTCATTATCTTATAGATATTTTATGTAAGAATGATTGCGTGCCACTCACTGTTCAGGTAACTATTTGATTCCTATAAGCTCTATATACAAAACTTACGTACGTAGAGTTTTTCATCCATCGAGCCGCTTTGGTGAATAAATCTTCCCCTATAGCTAGCGATATATGTGTAACTGGGAAATTATCAAATCATCGAAACATCCTAGAAGAATTACTACCTTGGCCGCAAATTGGGTTTGATGTCACGGGTCGTGCTTCACGACAGATTTATTATCAATAACAGTAACATATTAAGCGGAGGTAAACTTCATATTAAGTACTTTGTTTTTGTAATTTTTTATATTTGCTATGGATGCTAATATAGTAGAGTTTGGCATGGAGATGAGATGGCTCACCAGAAATCATACATCTCCTAAATCTTCTACTATACTTCTCCAGACTTATATCTCCCAATATATAGAGGGAGGCTACTCTGTCCAGATACTGTGAGGTAGAAAGTTGTTCATTCTTCCAAACATATTTGATATTCCATGCCAAGGCCCCACATACACATATGGCTAGTCTCATGCCAAGCCTCTACGAGCGAAAGTAGCTTCGCATTTGCTGACATATGGCAGTCCCACAGATATGAGTAGCTTTGATTAGGTAATCACATGTAGGTACTACCTAAGCTTGTCTCAGAATCAACAGGCTCGGGACTGGAACCAATATTTGCCCATCCTTTCTTGCTTTCCTAGAAGACCAAAACTCCAACACCCCCACCTATGCAAACTGATAGGATTATAAAAGCTTTCCTTTGGTAGTCCATGATCTTGAGGGGTAGCAGTACTGGGTGTGTTCTGAATGACAGAGCTTGAAGAAGCTCTGATGCATGGTATAGAATCGATAACGTTTAAAATGGAAGGATGAAAAAAAATGGAAGAACGGGGAATCGAACCCCGGACCTTCTCAATATTTCATCGACCGAAGACGACTTGCAAATGAGATGTTATACCCCTAAACCATTCTCCCACTGGATATAAATAATGCATTCACATTCTCATATAACATACACTCAGCGCCAAGTACTTACCACTTCATACTTGCCCTCACACAAAGCGACATACATAAAAGACAAGGAAATTACACGAAGAAAATAAATGACTCGAACTCGTACCTATGGCTCTCCCCAAAGAGACACCTCAATACCACCCACGCTGCCAATGGCGGGTGTTCCTTTGCTGATTTGTTCTAGTACGCATTTATGTGGTGTAGGGTTCAAGATAAACATATCACAACTCAGCCAACACCGGAGCAAATGAAGACATTGGTAATGATAGCTATAAATTGTGTACATTATTTAGACTGGCACATCAATATGATCATCTGATCGCCGAATATTACATAAACGTGAATACAGCCCACAAAACATGGTGAGGCGCGGAATCGAACTACATATAGTAGTTTTCCTACGAAGAAAACACAATGCACCAGATACATACTTATGACCAGGGTTGAACTAAGTACTCATAGTTCTCCGTTATTACCCCGTTCGGAGTACGCTTTACACTTGAGTTCTCAATTGTCGATAACAGGTAACAGTACTCTCCCCCTTCACGGGGCTGAGCTCGGGAATTGTAACATGAGGTCAATTGTTACGGGCCGTTCTACAAACGGGTTTAGTGTAAGAAATGTATGTGCATATGTGTTCCCTATAGCCATTCAATTTCCCGCGGGCCAAACAAGCCCATTCATAGATCCTCAAGGCTTAGTCTGGTAACTCAAGGCTAATTCGAAGTTGTACCCTATTTCTGTCTGCGCGGTAGCTTAATTGAAAGGGTGGTGAATGAGATTAAAAATGTTAATCCTTTTCATTTGAAGCGGAGTACATTCAATTGTGATAATCGATTCAGTTCGACCCTACCCTATCATGCCTTGTCTTCTCGATCTTTGATTGAATGTAATGCTCTATTAGGCGTTCGCCATTGCGTTTGTGACGCAATACCTTTCATCATCTTTGCTTTGTTATAAACCCTAGCGTCAGCGACTCAGTATTAGACGGCCTTTAATTTGTACCGCTAGGTCACCACACCGGTATTCCCATGTTTCTTCACCAACCTAGCATTTCTTGAACTGTGCGTAGTCTGGTTGGCACATGCGTGCTACCCCACATTCTCGGAATGGATCTTCCGTTCTTGCTAATCTTGTGCCTCCACGCCTTTTGAGAACAAGGCCTAGTTGTCGCATTCACAGAACATATAATTCTCAGTCTTTGATCGTCAGTTTTCAATGATTGATCGTTAGAGATCATACCATTTTGATATGTCGACGCCGAAAACTATTTCTGCACTCTAAGATGGCTTCAACGCTCACCAGACACAGTCTGTTAATGACAGCATCCTAGTCGAGTTCATGTATCTAGCGCGGGACCTGGCAGATTAACTTGCCATGTTCCTGAATCCACCTGGGTTTCTGGGTGGCTCCCCATGGTCACCCTTGTTGGACACTGTAACCGCTAGGTCAAAGCGTGATCGATCGTATATTGTACGCACACAACCCTAAAGGGACCGCATAGGAGTAATGAGTTAAAAAAAAAAGGCCTCAACACAGCGAACATAGCTCAAACGCGGCAGCCGATGGCATGAACCGATTACAAAAATACACCACTCACAAAGAAGCACTTGCAAACGCTGTAATTATTAGAACCAATAACCAAACGAATTTGGAATTCTGTCAAATTCAAAGACAAGGCCGCGAACTGCAGCGCAGCGTATTGAAGACTGAACCTCGCGATGAAATAAAAAAGCCCTAACACAACACGCTACATAAAAAATTACAATCCATAAAAGAAAAACATGCTAACAAACCATGGGAAGGAAACCCACAAGTAACCACGAGTTAGAAGTCATTCCACTCACAACCCTCGCCATTCTGAAGCTGCCATCTCCAACCCCTGTCAGCGGACAAGAGGGTGAAGAACAAAAGAAAGCTAATATTTTAAAAAAAAAAAACTCAGTACTCATATGCGGTCCCAGTATGGGAGGACCATGATGAGCCTCCCCGAAACCCGGGTGGATTCAGGACAAGGCAAGTTAATCTGCCAGGTCCGGCGGATATATACACAGATTTAAGGGCAGATTTAAGGGCAGTTCATACGAGTACGACGAGAAATATGGAATCGACTCTTGGATCGGAGCTACCATGCTGTCATTAACCGGCATATGCAGAAGAAAGCTAGGAGAAGCAACTCCTTCCTTGCCTCTGCCTGCTGTGAGCCAGCATAAGGCATCAAAACTTGGAAATTGGTGATATTGTGCTCCTTGATAACAGCACCCTCGATAGAACGCTAAGATGAAATCTAGGGTCTCTCACACTGAGCAGGAAGGGAGGCCGTGGTATTGAACAAAATAAATAATACGGCGAAGTTGGAGGTAAGGTGCCCTGGTACTGCAAGCTAATCCAGGGTAGGCTCATTCCAAGGGCAAGAGTATCAGGTGGGGAGAAACCACGGTTGGGTGACAAAGTTTAAGCAAACGAAACTGTGCAAGGTAGAAGAAGCGTTAGAGGCGCTCTGGCAAGAGGCTGGAACGAGTAGGCAAGGGCAACTGGGGTTCTAGTATTCCAAATGACAGGAAAAATCTTTAGCCTTGGAACTTCTAGGCAATGGAGGTGAGTAGGCCAGAACAAAGGCCTAGCTGGTAAATTGTCACAATCGCTTGAGTCCGCAGTCACTGACATAAATTCCCAGTCCTCCTCAGGTTTCAAAATGTTCACACCACTTTGGTATGGCCTACATCGACACCCAAACTACTTCTGATATCTAGCATGGCCTCTACGCAGAGCACAGTTCAATCGGAACAACCGACAGCTTGTATCACAAAGCAGCAGTTTGAATCCTTACAGCGGATATATCACACACAAGGCTTCAACTAGAAACGATTCAGAGTTACGGCCGTGAAATGGATTAGGAATACCCCGACACGCTGGCTTGACATCCAGAGGCTGGGCTCCCCGCCTCCTTTACCGTGAATTCCGGCAATACCAACCCAACCGGCTGCAACACACCTGCAACTATCCGAGTACATACTCTCATTTAGGAAAGTTTAGTACTCTCGCTTTAAACTGAGTCGACGTCGCAAAAACGGTTTTGAACCACTAAATTAGGCCCTATTTGGTATGGGGATTTCGCCGAAAGTGAAGAGAATCTCTTTTCCAGATTAGAGACAAATAACGTGTCCGACTACAAAACGTACTGAACAATCTCCCCAAATGTGTTTCACGACCAGCTGTAGTCCAAGTTAATAACTCAATATATTACAGATGCCCCGGCTGTAGGTACCAGCACATAACGTACCAACCAATAACTCCTACAAGCAGGTGAAGAACAAGCTAATAATAATTCTACATTCTAGTACAGTAGTACCAAGGCCAGCGTGAAAAGCACGCCTGCACCTCAAAGGCAAAGAAAACACACAGCAAGAAAAGCAAGCATTGTATAAAAGTAAAAAAGCCGCATGGGCTGTGTTCCGCTGGTGGGAATCTCCGCGTAAACCGCAGGTGTTGTCAGATCGTCATAGGAGGACCGCGTCACCGTAGGTCGACACCATATCAACAAATCCAATAGTAGCGCCTGTCATTGCGGACACGATGTACAGGACGGTCGACATACTGTATCTTCTTCTTCTACCCGGACTACAGCACACGTAGGGTAGCCCTTGGCAGCATCAGGGACTAGGAGCCCCCAGGAGGAGGACGGAGAGCAATGGGACGCGGTGGAGACTATTACGGGGGTTGTGGTTGCCCCATATAATAATGGTCCCGTGCATCGGTTGTTTTTAGGTTGTTTTAGTTTTGTTGCAGTTACATACTTACATAGCTTAGTCAGGCCTGTCAGGCCTACGAGAAGGGCTCTTTCAGCGGTAGTTAGAGACCTAAGAGAGACATCAACATCAACATCAATCAAAATCGATATCGAAAAAGACATCGAAAAAGACATCGATCGAGACAGAGCAATAAGAGTCACACCGAGCACACACCGAGTCACCGTGAACTAGGACTGTACGCCGTTAAGCAACTACCCCAGACAGCCCTTCTTCTTCTGTGTGGGTTTGCATCTTAACGGGCCTTTTTCACCCTTTTGTATCGGCAGGAAGGGGCGTCGGTTAGCGGGATGTCAGTTTCGAGTTCAATGACGTTTCTTTCTTTACCGTATTGAGTTTGTCTGAACGGAGTCGAGCCTCAGTCAGGCCCTCGAGGGGGGGTTGCCGGTTAAAGACAGCACGGAGGCCTCGATCCCTTTGAGCCTGGTTTTGGTTTCTGTTTCCTGGTTTTGCAAAGACAGTAATCGCGAATAGGACGCTGGCAGAACCCCGTTGCAAAAGCAATTGTAGGGGTACCGCCAATAAGCATGTATAAGAAGGTAAGAAGGTTCGTGATTCCAAATGGTGAAGATTTTTTTATATCTGTTTCCAACTTTATCCTCACTACCAAACTACAACTACAACAACAACGTTCAGCAATGCCACTAAACGACCGGTATTTTAAAGACCGAATCAAAGGTATTGCAGATCAGCATTATCAGAATAATTTAAACAAGTGGACAATGGGTAAGGCACTTCAATCCAAAGCATAGAATAATGTGCTAACAGGAAGACAGCAAAGTATACTGCTTCAGAGCGCCGTATCCTTATTACTCAATGAGTTTGCCAGGCTTGGGAGCCTCTCCAATGATCTGAAGGAGTCTATTGTTCGGTCATTTCGAAAATGTGGCATAACAATTGCACTTGATGGCAGCGAGGATAGTGATATTAGAGGATTAAAGGGATATACTGTTGGCACCCAGAATCCAGAAAGGGAAGATATTAGTTCGGATTCTGATGATGAGTATGAACCTGGGTCCAATACTGGAGATAAAGATGCAGTGGGCGAGGGACATATAGTGGGCGAGGGAGATATAGTATGCAGTTGGTGAGGAAGATGCAGTACGCACTGGCAGGGAAGTGCAAGAATAAAAGTTGAGCGTGATAGAGCGT